TCGAATACGAATAATACAAATATTCGATCCACTCGAATACGAATAATGCAAATATTCGATTCGTATTTTGGAAGGTATACTTGATAATAAAAAAACCTGAAAGTAATTTGACCTAGTTTTTATAGTAGTTTAAGATTTTGTTATAAGGAATATTTCAAGATTATTGATTTGATATTTTTTTAAATATTTGCAATTTGTTGAGCTTGGAGGGTATGGAGTAATTCCGGACGAAAAAAGAAAAAATTGCTTGAGCCAACAATTATGTAGAATAATGAAATAATATGGGTATGAAGAAGAGATCCCATTCATAATTATTTTTGAGAACAGTTTTTCACAATTTTTGTGTATTTTAAATCGAAAAGTTCAAAATAGTGTCGGTTCCTCCTATATTTTTTTGAACAAGTAACCGTGTTTAATATTAGGTAAAGATCATACTTTCTTTTTAACGTAGAATTCTGATATTTTTGTTGCAATTTACAAATAATCGACTTATAATTTTCAATGGATAACATCTGTGTGATATGAAAAGTTAAAAAATAGCAAATATGAAAATTGTCACTTTTCTATGGATAATCTTTACTAAATTTTAATTTAACATGATTACAATTTATATATTTACTCATTTGCTTCAAAATAATGAATTATAATTGTCACATTTCTATGGTTCATCTTCACTCAAATTTTAATTTACCATGCTTATAATTTATATTTTTACACATTTGCTTCAAAATAATTGAAAAATAATGAATATGACAATAAAAACCAAAATTAACGAAATATTTTATTGGTAATGGATAGGTAAAAAATGGAATAATTTTTGATTTTTTAGAAGATAATTAAAATATTTATTTATAAATCAGTTTTAATTTATAACCAAATATCTATCATATTCAAAAACAAAACTAATTAAATCTAAATTTGTATTGGTTTAATCTTTTTGTATAAATAATATAATAAAAATGATTTGATGATATAATAAAAATATTGGTAATTTAACACATTTCATTTTTAATAAATTTCATGCAGAATAAAACTTTTATAGCTTAACAAAAAAAATATTTTTTAGACGGGACTGGACCGACGGTCTGGTTTCAATTGACTTAACCCATCGAACCTGTCTCATTTTAGAAAAAAGGAGCAGACCGTTGCAAATACTAAAGCCGACTAAATGGATCAACTTAAGTCGACATGCCGATTTCCTCTTAGACAGTCGTAGTCAGAAGAAGTCGACTAATTAACAACATTAAACATATCGCGATAATGAAATTCTCTATAATATCTTCGTGAAATAGTTATCGCTATATTGTCTTCGCGATTTAGGTTTCACGATAATGACTTCGCTATAACGCGTTTATTGATTTGCGATAAAAGTTTCGCTGTAATGTATTCGCTATAAAAAATTCGCAATATTATCTTCAAAATCTTCCCTAATGTGGATTCACGATAATTCGCGAAAAAGTGTTGCACAAGTTTCACTGAATTGACATAAAACCATTTGAATTGACACATTCTACACTTACAAAATGTCTTTATTGATGTTAAATAATACTCTGGACAGGGCAGAGTTAAATCATCTTCATTTGAAGAAATAAGTATTATTGACAAATATTCTTTATAAATAGATTTAATTAACATGCTATGATTGAATCAATAGTAATTAGATTAACAATTTTGGCTGTATAAAATTCAATCCTTAAAATTAGGGGTGTACCGATACCACTTTTTGGAGGCTGATCCGATCCGATATTCCAGATATTAAATTGATATCGGCCATTACCGATCCGATATCATATCTAATTTTGTATTCTGTAAAGAAACCAATGGTTTTTTTAATATACTTTTTATTGATATAACATCTATAATTTAAGTATACCATAATTTGTCATTAAACATATTATAATGATCAGTAATAGTTTATATTCAATTCAATTGCAATTCTAAAAGTATATAAAATATTTTTATTGTTAAATAACTTTTATATAATAAGTAATAACATTAATCGATATACATAATAAGTAATAAACAAATATATTATGAAATTTGAAAAAATCTAATATATATAATCCCTTAATCAAAACATGATCGTTTTCGTATCTTCCTAATGTATTTAAAATTTAAGGAGACTATATAGTGTAATGTTATTTTTAGCTCTCTACGAGGGTCGAACACAAGCCTCCCGTTTCAAAGTCGTATGTTTTAAGCATGCACCAACTTGTATATAATTAAATTTAAAATATTAATTAATAGCTGATATTTTAAAATTCTGCCGTTTATTACCATACTAGCCGACGGGGTTGTTGGGTAATTATTAAGTTTGTGTGTATGGTACTAAATATACTTTATTAATAAATTTTATATAAATATTAAAATTTAGGAGAGAAAGAGGTAAAATTGTTGCAATGTATACCGTGAGAATGTATTAGAAATATCAAAATTTAAATTTGTGATTGAAATCATATTGGATAAAATTTAAAATAGAGAAGCTTTAAGATTTTTGAAAATTAAATATGGGTTATACATTGGCATGTAATTTTTATTTTGCAGACTAGCCAGGCCTGATCAAAAAAACAAGTCCCATGCAACTTTCATAAAATTTTGCCATTTATTTATTGTAATTTTTTAATAAAAATGTCTTAAATTTAAATTTAGAATAAAATTTAGATTTGTGATAGAAATCATATTGGGTAAAATATAAAATAGAAATGCTTGAAAATTTTTTAATTTTAAATTTGGGCTAGAGATTGGCCTGAAATTTTTTTTGCAGATATCGCCAGGCCTGATTAAAAAACCAAGCCCATGCAACTTTCATATTCTAATTTTATTTTTAAATGAATTATGACTTTTATATATATTTTATTTCAGTTCTCAACTAACAAAATTATTATGGTCTTTGGCGGCCTTGAGAAAATTTTCCAAACAATATGGTTTTCAGAGATTTACCTATCTCCAGGCTTGGAAAAAAATTATTATGGGTTGGCCAGGTTTGAAAATAAAATTTCAGGCCAATGTCTGTTCCATATTTAAAATTAAAAAAATTTCAAGCATATCTATTTTAAATTTTATTCAATATGATTTCTATCACAAATTTAAATTTTATTCTAAATATAAAATTAAATTTAAGACATTATTATTAAATTACAATAGAAATAAATGGCAAAATTTTGAGAAAATTACATGAGACGTGGTTTTTTGATCAGGCCTAGCTGTGTCTGCAAAACAAAATTTTGAGGCCAATAAAATTCAAAAATTTTGAAGAATCTCTATTTTTAATTTTACCCAATATCATTCCTATCACAAATTTAAATATTGATATTTCTAATACCCTTAATGCTCACGGGTTACATTGCAAAAATTTTACCTCTTTTTCTCCTAAATTTTAATATAAAACATATTTAGTACCATATACACAAACTAACTAATTACCCCTCAACCCCGTCATTCTTGACGGGTTATTAGCTAGTATTTATAATAATATTTAATATATCGAAGATTTTTTTTTAGAAACACCAAAATTTCCAATTTATCAGAGAACTTGCGCCGATAGTAAAACTGTCAATATCACCAGCTATTATTATTAAAAAAAATATACATATACATAAAAATGGATTTCTATTTTAATTATAAAAATAAATGATTTTAGATATAACTTTTTTAAAAAAATTTATAACATTTAATTTTTATTAAAGACGCCATTTTATATCAGATCGGATCGGAAAATTTTATAATATTGGCCGATAACCGTATTTTAAAAATGGGAGAAATATCGGCCCGATCCAATAAAAATATCGGTACAACCCTATTTAAAACGACTACATTAGCTTCAATAGCAGTTTATTTAACAAAGAGCTATCCTAGATTTTTTTTTTACTTTTTATTTTCCTCTCGCTTAGTATCAAATTTGTTCTTTATATAGTTTTTTATATCTGTTTTGTTTTAAAATATTTCATATACTTTGTATATTCTATTTTAATTTAGTTTAATATGTAAATTTTTAAAATATTTTATATGAATTCGAAATAACAACAAAAATAATATATAAAATTTTTGTTGGTTGATCTTAATTCAAAACTCGGCTTATATTATTTACAAAAATATTAAAAACTCACTCCTCTTAGGGTGGCATGTTCCTGCTTTCTTTTAGTTCTTTTTTATATAAAATTCTATATATTTTTTTTCATATAATTTGTAATATACTCTTATTTGCTTTTTAATATATTATTTATTTTGATATTGTTTTATTATATCTTATTTTTAAATTGAAACCGTCTTTTAAATAAAATTATTCGAAAATAATGATTATAATTTTTCCATATTTTTTTAAGAAAAAATTTAAAGTAACGAACAACATTTTACGTTTTCGTTACTCAAAAAAATAAACCCGTTACTCGTTTCTTTTTAACGAATGAAGTTACTTTTCTTAAAAAAATGTTCAGCACTATTTTGTATAAATTCCAAAAATAACATTATATTTGTCAATCGGCTATTTATTTTACAAACGATCGTATATATATATATATATACATATTCTATTTTAAAAGATCTGGTATTTAAATTGGAAGGATATTTAAAAAAATAGGATCCGACCCAGTAACGGTTTGTGAGAAAAAGCAAAATTACATCTCTAATAAATGAGTTAGCGTTAGACGTTATGGATTTTTTATGTGTTTTATTAAAATATTAGATAGAGTTGTAATTTTATCCTTATATACAAAAAAATGATGATTTTGAAAAGAGTATGCGGCCTAGTCTACTTGATCACAATAAGACGGTTCTGGGTTCGAATTCAGCAAGGTCATATTTTTTTCTTAAATCAACTTGGTGATTCCGTCCATGGGGGGATAACATATAGTAGATCGGACTCGAGCAAGTAATTTCGTCAATATATATTAAAAAATAAATGAATCTTATTGCTTTTTAAAATTTTGGTCGTTGTGTAAAAAATGATCTAACGATATTATTACCCCAAATAAAAGGATAAATAATATAAAAAAATGGCTTACGAAATGTTTTCAACGATATTTTTCTGTTGCAAGTCATGATAATAATAATCGACATTTTCTAAAATTTCATAAAATTCGATTGTTAATTCGAGTAAGCATCTGGTACGTTCAAGATGAAACCGTTGCAAGAATGGCCCAATCAAATGACACAAATATAGATATTGATTCTCTGATTTAATTTTTGGTTTAAGCCTTTCTCTAAATTATAATATTTAATAAAAATTAGTAAGTTATTACTATACCTGACGAATTTAGGAAGCATGCTCAATTGACCTATGTTAGAATGAAGCCACAAGGCGTGGGCCAATTTTATAAGACAGCAGCTTTTAGATTTGATCCAATCAGGATTATTTTTTAAATGAGCAGGTAATGTTGTGTTTTTTTTACAATTATATTTAGAAGAAAGGTTATCGAAGTCATAAAACTTATTGCGAAGAAATTTATTTGGAAAAGAATGCGTGTTATTGAATTTGCCTTTGAAAATCGAAAATTTAAAAATAGGCGATATAATATTTTCTTCGTTCGTTTCATATGGATTAGAATTTTCAGATTTAAATCGCTTTTTTTTGCAAAAGGTTTCGTTTAATTTGGTTGATGTAAGATTATTTCTGCCATTATCACTCAATAATACCTCATCAAAAATATCATCAAATATAATTAGATGATCTTTTCCTTCACAAAATATCATTTCCATTTGTTCTTCTATTTCATTATATATACCAGAAGAGTAACTGTCCTAGAATTAAAATAAGTTTTAAAATAGCATAATTTTTTTAACTGGTAAACCAACTAATGTTAAAGCTATAGCATTAAACCAATGTTGATAATCGATTTCAAAAAAGGGCACTAAATGATGATTTATTATAAATGTATTAATCAAATCTTTGGCAATAGTTTGTCCGTTAGCAGGAAGAGATAATAACTCTATACATATTACATGAATGTAATGTAGTGTTTCATTTGAAAATTCATTAAATCTCCAATCAAATGATGGAAATGGCGAATTACTATCTAAAGCTTTAAAAATTTATATAAGAATAAATAGCTATGCATATATTTATTTTCCTTTCAGAACTGGGTTCGAATATGTAAAAAATTGAAATAATGCCTTAAACTAACCCTATAAAAGATAGAGTTTCAAAATAACTTTTTAAAAATTGGTCCAATTCAAAATTTAATTCACGTTAAAATAAATATACAAAACATAAATAAGTTGTTTTTATATAAAATTTATTTAAATATATATACCTTTAACTAATCGCTGATAAAGATTTCTATAATAATCTAAGGTAAATAATACCTTATTATTATTATTAATAGGGTTATTATTAGCATGATCTCTATAAATGTTCAGAATATTAGTATTCGATTGAAATTTTGCAAGATTGTTAAGATAATTATTAAATTCTGTTGTTGCATACCATTGTTTCGGAATAATACTATTATCTTTTGAGGTATATGATATAAAATATATAACAATAATCAATGTTATAAGTAACACTGCTAACTATTATGGAAAAAAACTGGAGCGGCTACAAAACTAGGAATAGAGAGTTGCTTAATTTTAAGATGAAGTAAGGGGAGCACTCCTTTAATTTTAATGATAATTTTTATAGGGCACTTGGTGTGTATATTTATATTTCGTTAAAATAAACGTAATATTTATTTTTATAGACCATTTTTTGGTCTCTTAGATAATTTATTTAAGGAAATTTTTTTTTATATTCCCCATCTATTTATATATCCCCAAAAAACATCAATTAAAATTAACCAATATTATTTTTTTTAGAAATATTCATCCAATTGTATTCTTTATTTCGCAACCTTCAACTTATATAATCTCATTTTCATCATTTCAGCTTTAATTTAGACATATCTTTATTTTAGGCGTATACAATTAGTTATTCAAGTGTGTAAATTTTAGAAATCTAAAAAGGACAAATTTTGTAAAATAAATAAAATATCATAATAATATACAATTCCAAATAGTGTCTTTTATTTTCGGAGTTCAGATCTTTCAAATAAAATATCAATTTAATACTTAACAAACATATAAAATATTTTCCTTTTAGAGCTACTAGAATTTATCCCATTAAAATTAAAATTTTAAGCAGTCATTTATTGAGTTTATATATGAAAAACATAAAATAATTAAATTCATATTACTTACAAATCATATTTTTTTTATTCCATATTTCACATAATATATTTGGCCTTTATTCTAAAAATTTATAGAATCTTGGCAAAACAAAAATTGTTATCTGCATATAATTTTTTATAGTTTCATGGTTAATCTACTCCTCTCATTTGAATAATGATTAAAAAAAGGATAAAAATGAAGCAAGCTATATAATAGTAGTTCACTACATGGTTCATGGATTGGAATATATGAGAAATATTAAACCCATATTTGGCGAGGCGCAAGTTTTGCATATTCGGCACATCAAACAATTCAAAGTTGCAAAATTTGTCGAACATTAACATTTAAAGAAACATTTTTATTTTTAGAAAAATCTATAGACTTATCTAAATCTGACCATTCGGCAATATTTTTAATTTCCATCTATTGGAAACATTCCAATTCTTTTAGAGGTTTTGACTAAAGAACAAAATATAAAATGCTAAGTCTATTCATTGTATCTATTACAATTTTTTGTCCATTAATATTTGTTTCAAATATTGCTTTTACTTTTGATAGAATTTTTTTTTTTAATTTTTCTTTCTGCTAACAAATAATTTAATGATTGTACAATTCAATCAAAGACTTTAATGGACTGGCCCGCAGCTCATGGGGTGATGAGTTTAACATAATATTTTCTAACATGCCTGGGCTGGCCTGGGTTTTTTAAAATTTATTTTAATGGGCTTAGGCCTAAAAAGTTTGATAAATTTAGCTTATTTAATCATTCTTTTATTCACCTTATATTGCAAATACCTTTTAATGATATATTTTTACAGCTATATAGTTTTTATTGAATATAAAATTTAATATTGATATGATATAGTATAAAGATAAAGTATGAATCAATAAATGACTACTTTTGATATTGTAAAGACTTTTAGGGCTTAATGGGAATTAAATAAATTATTGAGTTTAGGAGAATAAGGAAAAATAAATAATCTTTAATAAAAATTATGCATCTCTGGTATAATTTCGATTTCTTAAATTGCATGAAATACTGATTTTCAAACTGGCATTTAAAAGTTCTAATATGAATTAATTCGCTTTTAAAGAACAATATTCTTTACAATAATTAAAAAAAAGTTCCTAATTAGTATTTAATATTATATATTCATTATCATAAATGGACATAAAAAATTTTATTACCACATTTGTCGACCAAAGCATTAAATATAGCCTTAGTCAATTTTCCCTTGACAATTACACCAGAATGTTCTAAATGCGAGTTATTATCGATATTATGAAATCTTCTCTCGTTGAAATAAAATAATGTAGAATAAAGATAGCTTAAGGGACGTGGGTGATAACGGTACAATTCACTTAAGCGATCCAACAAGGTACCGAGCGATTTGTACATTCCAGGTAACTCCAAATAACGATGTATTAGTATATCTATAATCTAATAAAATATAAAGATCGTTAATTATTTTAAAATTTTACTTTATTTGAACTCGATTAAATGCGAATTTATTTTTCAAATAATGAATAATTACTTTGCATTTTTTGGGTGATTCCACGTCAAATAGACCAAAAAAACGAGATTTTCGACCGGAAACTTTGCATGTTAGTTATTTATGTTGTAAATGTTAAGATAATCAAAATTAGAGTGCTAGTTCAACCAGATCCAAAGATATACGCCTTCAAAGTCAAAAATCGCGAAGTGCGTGATTTCTTTAAATCGTGTTTTTTTTAAAATACTTAAGATAGAGTTACAAATTATATATCATTTTATAGCCTATAAAATTTTACGTTGAAAAATATTAAAAAAAAATTAAAAAATCTCAAGTGTTTTCTTATTTCAGGTATAAATACAAAATTAATTAGGAAGGGATTTTTTTTTGGTGTTAATATTCACTAAAAATGTTTATTACCTTTATATTAAACGATTAAAAAAAAATCTCGATAGCCTTTTTGTTTTTTTAATTTTATTTGAATTTTTATTATTTTTATAAATAAAAAAATGTAATATAGATGGCATTATATTAAAATATTTTTATAATATATAATTTTTAATAAAAATATGAATAGTATTGTGATTAAAATTAAAAAATCAATTGAGTATAACCTAGAATGATGTCCTGGGGCGATATGTAAGCAGGCAGCACATACAGATATTATTTTATTTGGACGCTATATTGTAATATTTTAAAATTTTGCACACAAACAATTATAAAAAAAAATACCTCTTGTTTTAATCTTATCCCATTTTGTTCTTATTAATAGAATTTCTTGAGACGATAATTTCTAGGTACGTGTCCTGTCACTGTAATAGGATCTACTACTGTAATTTTTTGATTAATGGGTAACCATATCTTTTCCGCAATTGTGGGGTGAAAGAAGGATGGTGATGGTTCATGGGGATGTAAAAAAAATATATATATCTCCTCAGTAATTTCATTCTTTTTTTAGTACTGTGGCTAACCACCAAAAATCGTCATAAACAATGTTAAGAATTCTTTAATATCGGCAAAAGACAAATTATCGACATTTGAGATATTGTTAATTTAAAAGTCCTCTGCATATGAATATATTTTTGATTTAAGTTTACTTAAACTCAAAGTAAATACAGCATGTATTTCCCGAGTTCCTCTAAATTGAATCTTTCTCGTAGTTTAATCTCTTGTAAATTGTATTGGTCGTTGGTTATATATGTAAAATTTACTGATGGCATGTCTTGTTTTGCAAATTGATATAAATCAACTGATGTTAAAATGTGTCCAGAATTGATGTGCTAAAGGCTTGAACGTGCTGCTAATCTTTTTAATGTTCCGCCAAGGCCGTCACATGGACCTTTTCCATGGGATGTAGCTGAAAAATGCCATTCAGCTGTTACACCAAAATCTGATTCATGATAACACAGATTTATAAAAAATTTCTGTTTTTATATTGCGCAGCTGATGCCTCAGAGCAGTAATATATTTTGTTTGGTTTTTGCTGAATTGATAAGTCAAAAATTTTATCATTTTTGTCTGGTATATATGTACTGCAATAACATTATTGAACAGTGTCTTGGATTATAAATGCATAATTTTCAGAGAAATCAAAAATTATCATAAATTCATTTGGTTGTAAAAAATGTTTAAGTTTTGGAATATATGATGATTGATTGGTAGCGATGAGAGGAATCAAAAAATAAAATAATCTGATAAATTTTCAAATAATAACGATAGTAGATCCACAACAATGAAAGGATATATCTACAAATTATGGCCTTAGGAATTTCTATTAATAAGCGCGAAATTATAATAGTTTGAATATAAAATTATAAAATATGTTTATTTTACAATATAGCGTCAATAAAATAATATCTGTATGGGCTGCCATCTTACATATCGCCCTAGGACATCATTCTTGGTTATACTCAATTGATTTTTTAATTTTAATCACAATACTATTCATATTCATATTTTTATTAAAAATTATATATTATAAAAATATTTTAATATAACGCCATCTATATTACTATTTTTATTTATAAAAATAATAAAAATTCAAATAAAATTAAAAAAACAAAAATGGCTATCGAGATTTTTTATTAAATCGTTTAATATAAAGGTAATAAACATTTTTAGTGAATATTAACACCCAAAAAAATCCCTTCCTAACAATGTTAATTTTTTATTTTTACCGGAAATAAGAAAACACTTGATTTTTTTTATATTTACCAACGTAAAATTTTAAGGGCTATAAAATGATATATAATTTGTAACTCTATCTTAAGTATTTTTTTAAAAAACACGATATAAAGAAATCACGCAAAATCACGTACTTCGCGATTTTCGACTTTGAAGGCGTATATCTTTGGATCTGGTTGAGCTAGCACTCTAAAATTTTGATTTTCTTAACATAACATAAATAACTAACATGCAAAGTTTCATTCATTTTTGAGATGGTCGGCCGAATCATTGGTCGATTTCTCATGGAATTACCCTTTTATAATCTAAAAAATATTTGTTGCATAAATAGATATGTAAATTGCAAAAATTAATTTTGAAAATTCTTTATTAAAATACAGAATAAACTAGGAATGTACCAATATTTCACCCATTTTAAAATATCGATAATAGGACAATCAATTTTCCGATATGATACGGGGATGTAATTATTACACATGACCTAGAGGTTAAAGAATCTAAAGATTTGTCAGATACAGAGAATTGTAAATTTATTTAATTAAGATATTTTTACTAATACATTATTTAGCTTATTCTTCTGATGATGATGATAATTCTGAGACTTATGATTCAGACTGGAAAAACTATTCGTTTATTATTAATTTATCGTCTACTTTTAAATTTTTGTGCTCTCCCTAATTTAACAATTTTATATAAATATTTATTAACCATTCCTACTTCCTCATGTACAGCCGAAAAGGTCTTGAGTAAAATTAAATTAATTAAAAAAAGACTTCATAGTACCATAAAGGATCCATTTCTTAATAATTTACCATTTTATTAATGAGAAAAAATTTATTTAAACAATTAAATATTGATGAAATTATAAATTAGCTTTCTCTTTCCCTAATTTGTCTAAATTATAATTTAAAAATAATATTTTTAACGTATTTATTTTTTTTTACCATTTATTTATAGGGGAAATGTGCCATAAATGGCCATGTTTGAAGACTGGCCACCACCCCATTTTTTTGTTTGGTGAAAAAATTACTAATTTAGATTACCGATATTTTATATAAATATTATCATTAGGCAGTTAGCATTATTCACTGGCCATGTAATGAGTGGCCACAATTCGCACATTCACATATTCGTATTAAAATGAAAAGCTCTTGCAAAACAACATTTGGTGAAATAAAATGATGAATAAGCTTAAGAATGTTTAGTAAAATGATAATTAAGATATTAATTATAATATTATCAATAAATAGATGTGGTAATAAATTGAGATTTTAATACTAATTAAATTAGTGTATAATTAATTTTTTATACAACTAAAAAATGTAAAAACATTAACATAGGTCTTTTACAAGTATTTCATATTGTATTATTTCATATTTATAATAAAATTCTTAAATAATATATTATGACCAGTTAACACATAGTATAAAAAAACAACTTTCACATAATCTTTTTAGCTCATAAAGTATTATACATATAGTTTTGATTCGAATTTTATTTTAAAGATTAATATTTAGGCTACACATTGATATAAAATTTGTTTGGTTAAACATAAATTTTAATAATTTTTTTTTCAAAAAAGCAAAAACATGGCCATTCATGGCACATTTCCCCTATTATATATTAAAGGATGCAATAAAAATTATTTTTGAAATTTATGGGTGTCAAAAAAATTAACAATTTTTACGGGTTGGGAGGGGGGGGGGACTTTTCAGGGGGGTATTCTGCTTCCATCTCTCAGAAAGAGTAGGGACCACTGATTATATAAATAAGTGATTTATAAATAAAAATATTTTATATACTTTTAGAATTGCAATTGAATTGAATATAAACTATAACTGATCATTATAATAAATTTAAATGACATATGTTATGGTATAATTAAATTATAGATACTATACTAATAAAAAGTATATTAAAAATTAAAACCATTGGTATCTTTACAGAATAAAAATTAGATATGAAATAGGATCGGTAATCGGCTGATATCGATTTAATATCGGATCGGCTTTCAAAAAGTGGTATCGGTACACCCCTAGAATAAACTAATTTTAAGATATATAAATTCTCCCACGTGTTAAATAAAAAGGTGACAATAAAAAATTATAAAATAAAACATCAATATATTCCAATGTACACACGGCATAAAGTTCATTTAGTGTTGTTAAAGGATTGGACCTCTATTTACCAAATCTCGAGACTTATATAATTCAGGCCGTTTTTAAACACTAATTTCATTCGATAAAAAACGTTAGTTAATTAATTGGTTCTAGGTTACATAGAATAATATTTTTTAAAAAAATGTAAATTCAATACCGGAATCAATCTATAGTATATATTGCCGAAAAGAACAGGAAATCCAGAATTTGTTTTAAATGTCTCGCTATTGTCACATTCCCCATAATATCTAATATAATTGTATAAAAAAATTATAATTGATATTTTATGATTATTATTAACCGTTCTGGATATTTAATTGTAAAGTGCACGTGCTTTTTATGCCAATCTTGATAAACCCAATGGTTATGAGGATAAGTTATAAGAAAATCATTATATCGTTGCGATAGGAAATCCGGAGGTTTTAATAACAATAATTGCGCTATAAATAGAGCCATTTGTGATGATATATTTTGGATGTTATTGCTATTAGAGATGTTGTGGGAATCTAAAACAATAATTTTTAGATATTAACTAGTATATCTATCGCAATATAGTTAAATTAGATTCTCTATTATTCGTAAATCTAGCAATAATTGATAAATATCTTTGCAAAATAAGGGTCTAAAAGGGATGGATTTATTTTCAATAGCAAAATAAAAATTTTCATTATTGAAATAAACTTATCCAGTAATTTAAAATTAATATACTGATCGCCGAAAGATCATTTTTAAAAGGATGTTACCTAGTGAAAATATATCGTCGCCTGAGAATTAGATTATTCCATCTCCACTTTATCTAATTTTACATAAAGTGGAGATTTTTAAAATTAAGTTTCTATTGTTTTTAAAGGATAGTTATCCTTATATTGGCTATAACTTATTTTATAAAATTTAGGATTTTAATTATGTAAATAGAATTGTATAATTACAAAAAATTCACTTGTGAAAAAAGTTATTTTAAACAAAAAGTGGATATGGAATAATCTAATTCTCAGGCGACGATATCTTGAAATCATATAAGGTTAATTTATTAAGAGCCTCATTATGGAGAAGTTGAATTTGATATTTCAGACCAGAAATTTAAAAGGGAAATGTTAAAAATGAGAATGTTATCTTCTAAGTATATTCGATAAAAATTATAATATAGACAAAAGCCAGTCTTATTACATTTCAGAATTATCCGCTTCGAATAAAAAAAAATGAAAATTTAAACAAGTTTCAACATTAATTTGAATAAATTTATTACCACTAAACTTGTTAGTATTATTAACGCTAGGGTTATCTTTCAATATTAAAACCAAAAGCAGTCGATCTAAAGGTATCAATCCCTTAACCCATATTAGCTCATTCAAAGATTCAAGATATTTAGAAACCATTAAGGCGTTTTGATTATGATTCATATTATTATTTGTAGCTGTATTAGAAGAGACTTTTTGATTATCATCTACAGTTGGAAGCTTGTTTAAATAATTTGTTGAAGATGTGGTGCAATTTGAAAATTCGGATATCAGATATTCAGCAAATAATCGAGTTAGCAATGATATAGATAAAAATAAATTGTTTGATTGTGAATTTCCAATATTTTCACAGCTATATAATAGATTTTTGATGGCTTGACCATCATAATCTGGCATGTCAATATTAGGATTGATATTGGTATTTTCACCTGTATTCACCTCTAATTGTTTTTTATTTAATTTTCGTTCTACACCCAATTTCCATACCAAACACAATATTAGGGCTTTAGGGGAAGAGTAATTATCATCCGCAAGTGATGTGTTTGTCAGTAAAGAACTTAAATAATTCGTCACATCTGCGGTTGTATTTACAAAATCTTAAAATTTAAAAATAAAACATATTAAATTTTTAAAAAAATAAGTCATTACTGCCTTTTTACATTAGCTTAGATTGACAATGAAAAGTCCATAATTACTATAAATAAATCATTAATTTTAATAATATACTGGCAATTAATTATTAATTAAAACTATGAAAATATTCAAATATAGAGAATTGCAGACTAGACCAAAGGGCCGTAAGATTTTATTATAAAATAAACACGGGCTGGAACTAAAAATATTTTCGTTACAAAACCTGGGCCGATTTAAAAATAAATATATTTAAATTATATTAATTAATTAGTTAAATGTCTAAAAATCCTATCACGGAGCGTTTAATATTCATTTATTGCTCATATTTACAATTTCCCTTTGATATAATTTATAAAATCATTTAAAATAAGGAAATTTTAAAAATTATAAAAATCGGGTCGAGCTTAAATTTTTTAAATGCGGGCTGGGCTTAAAATTTGAACCTTTTACAGGTTTCTGAATGACCTATTTATAATATATTAATTTTATTTGCATGAGTGAGATTTTTTTTTATTACTAAGCATATTTTTGAATTCTTCGTTTATATATTCTTTGAAATTTGATTTGCTATTTTTTGAATTTTGATAAAATTTACCTAAAGATAATGGAAAATGATATAGAGTATGATTGGACCAATTGTGGGGAGTTTGATGCATAATAGTATTCATGAGATCATAAAACCTTAATTTTAATATAAATAAAGTTTAAATATGAATATGCAATTTATTAGACGCTTAATATTAATATAACATAGGCGTACCAAAAACTTTCCTAAGGGAAGGGAGGTGGCACTTTTTAAGTAGCATTTTTCCTCAAAAATTTATTGAAAGGATTCAGGCCCATTAGTTGGAAGCCTTTTTTTATTATCAATTATGAAGAATATGATTAACATAATAAAGGCTCGATATTAGCATATTTTATGGGAAAATTGTAAAATCTTTGTTAAGCAAATGTTTTGAAATATACAAAGTCGAAGCATATAAAGAAGTAGCTCAATATCAATTATGAATAATATGATCAGCATAATAAAGGCTCGATATCAGCATGAATTATGAGGTATGAAGTTCGTCAAAATTGAAATCACGTTTATCTCACCAAAAAAAATGAAATTTTTAAACTCTAATCAGGTAATATACTTAGAAAAGATATGTAATTATATATTTTCAATTCCTTATTTAAATGCGGCCTCAAAGAAAATTTTTTAGTTTAATGAATGAGTCTTGGAAAAAACTCGTTCTTCCCTCACATTGGATTTATTAGACGCCGAATTGATGTTAAAAGTAATTTGATATGAATTGCGAAGAGTTCGCGAAATTTATTTCCAAAGATAAGAAACTTTTAAATAAAATAGATTTTTCCATTTAATATATAGATGAATTTAGCAAACTCACTTTTCGAATATGATAGGTCTAGATGAAATACTTTTCCTACCCATGTTAATATATTTGATGCTGGTTTTATATTTTTTCCTTTAACCAATCATTGCATATAAAAATTTTGTTTATAGTTAAATCCATTTTAATATTGTAATTTATAAGGTTAGTTTTATGATTCCAATAATGATTTAATAATTTATTTGGATAACTAATTTAGAAGTTATAACAATTTATAGAAAATTATTTAAATAGTCGTTTTTAATTTTATGTTTTCGCCATTGTTTTAAATGGTCATAACTAACATAGAGTTAAGGTAATTTTGCATTTGAAAATCTGCTAAAACAAGATTAAACTTTAGCTTTTTATAATTATTTTTGAATTCCAATTGATTACAAAATTATTGATTTACATGAAGAAGAAATGGATAATTCATCCATACCGATACCATTTGAAAAATTGTGAGAAACAAAAAATATTATCTTTCAACATAATTCTTTGGGTAATAAATTTACAAAGTAATTTGCAGGTAATTGCGTACTTTTTAGTTAAATGATATAAGAAAAAACCTCTTTTAACAGTTAACTAAAAGGAGAAATGATACAATTTCCCAAAGAAATATATTTAGACCTTTACAGAATGGTAAAAGTTGTTTTTAGCAATGAATCTAAGTTTCAAGATTTTAATTACATAGTTACTGTATGAAAATGAAAATTACCATATAAATTTATATCCTGAAGAATGAATCATTCTGTTGCAGGTAGAGATAGTTATCGTTTCTCTCAATTTATGAGTCAAATAAACATGAGTGATTTTAGCTGATAATTCGTTGCAAACTGCGTTAATCCTGGTTGTTGTCATTTTTGGATGCCCCTTAATTTAAGGTCAATACGAGCAGTAAGGGATAAATTAATTAATTTATATTGTCTCTGATTGTTTCTATGCTTAGCTGAAGTTTATCAAATCAAAAAAAAAATTCCCTGGGCAATTGAATTTCAAAGGGGCATTTGAAATTAAAAAATAATTGTAAAAAACTAAAGTTTAACCTTGTTTTAGAATAAAAATTTCCTCTCTAACATTAGTTATGACTAATGCTGTAAAGCAATGTCAATGGTGAAAGTAATGTAGTAATTGTCATAATTGTTGTTTTTATTATTATTATATTGGTATATATTTTGTTTGTTTGTAAATTCATTGTATTTTTTACATGCGCAAATATCTGGTTTGTTAACATAAGCGCATTGGTTTGAGTTTAGATTGTAAGACTCAGGATGAGTCGTATTATTTTAATTTTCAAGAATTATTTTTTGTATTTATTGAATTATAAAGTATAATGTTTAAAAGAAGCCATGTTAAGCAAGGATACATTATTATTGTTTAGAATTTAATAAAATTATTCTTTACGGTATCGGATTTAGTCTCAACGGCAATAACTGGCGCCGTGACCTAAAGAGTAAGTTTTAATTTTTATATTTATTTAGGTATTAGATTGGATGAGCTGTAGTATTGAAGTGCATATTTGTTAAAGGCACAGGGGTTCTGTGGAGTAATATTTTTTTTGGTGGAAATACGGTGGAGTACCGTGGTTGTTTTTGTTGTTAAGGGCACAGGGTTTCTGTGGAATAATATTTTTTTGCGGAAATACGGTGGAGTAACGTGGTTATTAAAAGTGATAGTAAAAAATTGTAAAGTGGGTTACAGTGTGGTTAAAAAAGTGTTAGGTATTGTTGCATCATTTCGGTATTGATTTTATTTATCATATTGTTTAACTTTGTAAATAGTTAGAATATTATTAGTTAAGTTAATTATTAATTTTTTATAGGTAATATTTTGAATTAGATTTTTTTTGTTAGAATGTTTAATTAATTTAGAGATAAAAAAAAACAAAAATTTTTTTTCAATATTTTAATTACATATTTTGAAGGGTTTTAAAGTAACGAAATATGTAGAGGTACAGTAAAATATATTAAAAGCGGTGGTGGTATTGATGATATGGTTGGGAAGTTTGTATTTCAGCAGGAGAGTGCGCCGAAATAGGAGTATTAGGATACGGGGGCAGACATTGTTAATTGAAGGGCATAACTGTGAGGAGGATAGATATGGAAAGGTAATGTGGCCTGTGCAGGAGATGTTGCAGGGGTGGGCAATTGACTTGTGAATCGATGAGGATGGGAAGGATAGGGAATCGACACGGTTGTTTGCTATGGAAGGGTCGAGGAATAGAAAAATGTTGTTATAAATATAGGGTAAGAGGGTAAAGCGCCGTAGACTGTAGGGATATTAAATGTTTTGAGTGAGGCCACAGTGGTCATACTTCGAGTTTTGTATGGCCCATGGTGTTTGAGGGGCTGGTTGAGAAATAAAAGTATATGATATGGGAGTTGTTTTTTTTGGAGGAAATGGCCCAATGTGATTTTGAGGGCCGGTTGAGAAAAATTGCCCAATGTGGTTTGGGGGGCAGTTGAGAAATGACTCAATGTGTTTTGGGGGCCGGTTGAGAAGAATGGCTCAATGTGTTTTGGGAGCCTATAGGAAAATGGCCAATATGTGGTATGGAGGGCGGTTGAGGTCCGGAAGTGGGGGACGGAGATGAAAGGGCAGTGAAGGACAGGGAGATATTTTTTATTTTTAAGTTTTTATCTTTTCATAATTATTGAATTTTATATAAGTATGTACTTTCTTAAATTATATTGTATATTCCCCAATATGTATTGTCCCTCAACAAGTTGGGCTAAATAAATATAAAAAATATCTTGTCCTGATTATCAAAGTTAATTTTTATGTAAATACATATTTTCACAAAGTAATTAAATCCTACAGTATTCGAGAGAGAATATATATCTTATTTCATAAAATGTTATATCGCTGATATTTTATTTGAGGAATTTATTTTTTTAGAAATTTATTGGAATCTAAGATTCGAGTAAGGAGAGTAAATAAAATTATATATTCAAAAACCTGTATCGAAATATTTTTTTGTAAATGTAGTAGGGGAAGGTGAGTAAAATTTTTAGGGTTTATATGTCATGAAAACACGAAAAAATAGTTTTAAAGTTTTTGTAAAAAGGAAATAGTAATGAAATATAAAAATGGTTTAAGGTAAGCGTAATTGATATATATAAAACGTTAAAGAATTTATACCTTTTCTTTGTTAAAGTTGAATAGGAATAAAAGCAGTAAGATAATGAAAATTGGATCAGATTTTTTTAAAAAAATATTTTTTTAGTAATTGAGAAAAAATGTGATTTATGATAGAGGAGTGTTGAGATTGGAAAGGGACTGGAATATTTGTTTTATAATTAAGTTTTGATAAACCAAAAGGAATATGAAAAGTATTATTATTGGTAAAAAGTTTAAGAAAAATATGTTTTTTAAAATTAATTTTTCTTGTAGTGCCTTTGATTATTTATTTTGAGTTTTTTTTTAAAAAAAATGAGGAATATTTTTACGTTGTAATATAATACTTAAATTTCTTAATATAATGATAGGGGTTTAAAGATAAGGTTCATTTTCTTTTAGTGATAAGAGAGATTTGGGGTAATTATGTCAGGGTTTTAGGTATTTTGTGGACGATGAATCTCATGGTATGGTGATAGTAAAATACAAACTACCCCGTTGACTTATCGAAAGAAGGAAAAGGATTATGGAAATATTGCTACGACCAAGTGGTCCACTGAAAACAAGTACTATTGTGAAAAGTATGGACGGGAGTAATGCAGCAGTCACAGCAGGGGCAGTACGGTCGTTTGTAAGGGGGGGGGGAGATGTCAAAATTGGTGTTTTTTAATTATTATATTGGTATATATTTTGTTTGTAAACTTATTATATTTTTATCATGCGCAATAATCTGGTGTAAAATACATTGGTTTGAATTCAGATTGTAAGACTCGGGATGAGTCGTATTATTTTTATTTTCAAAAATTATTTTTTGTAATTATTGAATTATAAAGTATAATGTATAAAAGAAGCCACGTTAGGCAAGGATTCATTATTATTGTTTTGAATTTAATAAAATTATTCTTTACGGTATCGGATTTAGTCTCAACGGCAATAGTAATTAACGTAGTAATTAACGGAGTTTATTCTTTTTTAGGAAAAGAAATGCCATTCGTTACTTGTTTGAAAAGTAATAAGTAATGCGTTTTATTTGAGTAAAGGTAAATTACTTAAATTTTTTCTTAAAATATATAATTTATTTTATTATGTTTTTTTTAAATATAAATATTCAGATTAACTACCAAAGTTCTTCATTTTTATTTTATTTATGTTGAATTTATAGAGTCAAGATTGATAATCAGATTAGTATTGAATCAATCAAGGATGTTAATTTATATTCTCCAATAAAGTTAATTTATAAAATATATGTCAATAGTAGAGGAGACCAGGGCTAGGTCGGCGCAAGGGGCTTGTCGGTTCAAAATATTTTATTTTAAAACCAGTAAAGTTTAAAATTTGAAATTTAGTTCTAAAATAGAATTCTATAATATCCATAATTGGGGATAAAAATAATTTATAATATTTAGCTATTTAAATTTTTATCCGATCTGACATGTTTTTGACGTAAAGATTACAATATTTTCACTTAATAATATTAGGTTGTATTAAAAAATTAAAAGTTTAAACATGACAAAATGAACATTATATGAAAGTTAAATATCTATTTTAATATTTGGGAAAGTTTCAGATTGATATATAATGCTTAAATATATGTTAAGATCAATTAGTAATATTACCACCATTGAGGTTAGAATCGTGGCTAGTCGGCGCAATCAGTCAATTTTTATTATATTATTATGGTACCCAAATATATATGCAAAATTCAAAATAGTAAAATTTTTACTAAAAAAAGATTATGAAGAAACTATAACACTATATGAAAATGATATCTCATTAAGAAAAATACCATTTATTACAGGTTAAAATATAATATTTTATAAATGTAATATATTAAATAATAATTAATTTATAAATTTATTAATGTGATAGATTTTTCATAATACATTTCAATTTTAATATAATATCAGACCTAAATAAATATCTTGCAAACTAAAATCTTCATATACATATTGTGACAGATAATATAATATTTTATAAATGTAGTATATTAAATAATAATTATTATATAAATTTATTAATGTGATTGATTTTTCATAATACATTTCAATTTTAATATAATATCAGACCTAAATAAATATCTTGCAAACTAAAATCTTCATATGCATATTGTGATAATATATTATATATTGTCACAGATATTATATATATTGCATATATAAATTTTAGCCTGATAATAAGATCAATTATTTAAATTAATTATATCTAGCAAACAAATATAATATATATATTTTAATTGACAATATAATATGATTCAAATTAATACATTTTATTAGATATGAACATTTTAGCATATAAATTTTAGCCTGATAATAATATCAATATATTTAAAATGAATTATATCTAACAAACAAATATTTATATATATCTATTTAAATTGATAATATATTATGATTCAAATTAATTCATTTTATTGGACATGAATATTTTAGTAATCAGATTATATTTAGCCTGATAATAAAATCAAATGATGTTATATATTTAAATATAGAATTAGATAAATTTTGAGTAAATTTATTATTAATAATAAATAAAAATTAATAAAAGATGTGTGTATTATATGTAGACAGGATTATAAAGTTTTCATAATTTTGAAGATTGGTTTCAATGTAGAGTGGTTTTCTGTCAAAAAAGATTGTTATTTTATTTGTTATAATTGTAAATAGAATATTATATAAATAAAGTATCATAATTATATATTAAAATCTGGGAAAAATTTTTTTGTCCCACAAGAAGCCTAATAAACCACTTGATTCGACTAGCTACATCGATGATCCGACTAACCACGGGTTCGGGGCTACTAAGTTCAAAAAATGACTTAAACCTTTCTAGAGAAATAATTATTAAATATTTAAAAAATATAACAATATATATTTATAGGTAGATGTTTAAGGTACCTATTGGTATTTTGTAAGATCTTATATGATCAATATTTTCGGAACTATGATGATTTTGACAAAAATTGCGCCGACTAGCCCTGGTCTTCCCTAGTTATTTCTTGCTAAAGGTTATTTAGCTATGCATATACCAGACTATATTCTGATAAAGATAAATATTTTTTGATGAGAATCTAAATGAAGATTCTAGCGAAAATGATCACAAGTGTTTTAATAAATAAATATAATCTTCCCCTTCTCTGCGCCAGTTGAAGGTAAAGCGAAAGCTATGTTGAAGATTAGGAACTCTTGTTTATCTATCAAAATTTTGAAAATCAAATGTTCTTAAAAATAAATAAAAAATGATTACAAAAAGGTATTATCTTTTAACAAGGTTTCCCATTCAAAAAAGGAGGTTTGATCAAAAAAGAAAGTACAAAAAAGGAAAAGGTCCAATCAAAAAAGCTAGTCTATCAAAAAACGAAAAATCACAAAAAGAAAAAATGTCAATCAAAAAAGGAAAATTCCCATTCAAAGGAAAGTAGTTATTTTTTTAATCCTTTTCCTTTTTTCAACCTACATAAGAATTTTTTGATTTTTTTCTCCTTATATTATTATTTTTTAAACTTCACTTGATTTTTATTTCTCTTTGGCAATCAATTTCCTCTCTTCTAAATTTTGGAATATAGGTCTCTCTTTATTTACAAAATAATTTTTTTGCATTCTCCTCAGATATTCCTCTCTCTCCATGCTCTATAAAACAAATTAACCCGTTATTAGAATTTGGTTTCTGGTGGATTATGCCCATTTCCTTTCTATCGATTCCCTAATTGTATGGTTGTGATAAAATATTATTCATCACAAAAGTCATATTCATAATTTTCTTCAAAATGATTTGATATTTCATTTAAAAATGGCTTAAGTGTAAAGCGTTGTAGGGAAAATCAAGAATCTTGAATCTGAATATTCCTGGAATCGTGAGAACAGTTATGATACTATTTGTCTTTATCCCTTGGACATTTAAGATAGCTTTTTTATTTATTTGTGAATATCCATATAACCGCCTCATTAACATTGAAAACCCGTCCTCATCAATAAAGATAAATTTTACTTTCATATAGGCTACATCCACAAACCAATTCATGTATTCTTTGCAAATCTCGATATTTGATTGTATTTTTAAAACTATAACTATATCCAAATAGTGACCTTGATACCGTATTTTTTGATATTTCTAAATCACATCTTCCTTTAATCATTTCACATAACTATTTTAAGGATAAAGTGCAATCCAAATTTATACAATCTAATAAATATTCTTCATGTTCTTGATTTAATTCCTTGCGGGCACGTAAGCCTCCTTTGGGTAAAATATTTAAAAAATAACGACTTTTCTTTTTATGATTGACATTTTTTTCTTTTTTGAATGGTAAACTTTATATATTATTTTTGTATAATTTATTTTTATTATGATTAGGAAAAAATAAATAAAAAGCAAATATATAAAGTATTTAGTATTTTTTAATAAATGGGGCTATTTTTATGAATAGCGACTAACGGTTCCTTTTTTCACAAGGCAACGATTAACGCGATCCTAATTTCAAATGTAAAACGCGTTTCTTTTTGGAAGTAATGTTTATAGCACTACATTAATTATGACCTGAAATACGAAATTAAAACGGCTTTGTTTTATAGTAAAAATAATTTCCCATAAATCGTCATAACTTCGAAATTAATAGTGATGTAAACGTTACTTTAAAAAAAACGCGTTACTAGTTACGGTTGATAAAGGAAAAGTTACCTTAACGCATAAAAAATACTAAATAATATATATAAATTTTCTTTTTATTTATTTTTTCCCCGATTAATAAAAATATGCGAAAATAATATATAAGATAACTTCTTTTTGTATTTTTAACAATTAAAATTTTGAGCAAATAAGAATTGAGCTCAATACAGCCTTTCGTTGTGCTAAACTAAGTTCAACTGGTGGAGAGGATATAAGCGTTGTATTATAATTAATAAATAAAAAATGTAATATGGGGAATTTTATTAAAAATATTTTAAAAATGAACTTTATTTTCAAAAAATCTCAATAGATCATCTTCACAAGAATCTTCATTCAGATCCTCATCACCTTTTCTTTTACTTTCATTAGAATTTTAATCGGAATTTTCATGTTTTTTTAGATTTGAGCTGCTAGACATCGAAGTTGAAATATTAGAATTAGGGCAGAATTTAAACTTACAAAGTATAGACTTAAGTTCCCTTAATTTTTTATTTCGGTAAAATGTTTCATACTGATACCAGGGTGACATATTATTTAATAAATGATAATATTAGAGAATATAGATGACTATATTATTTCGTAGAAAATAAAAACTGAAACGCTCAGATTTTTTCTAATTACTCAGAATCGTTTTTTTGGTCGATTTGACATGGAATGACCCCCTAAGGAATTGGTAAATGCATAGTAACCCTTCTAAGTTCAACTTCCTCTTTGATGGCTCGTTTAGGGCAATATACATTTTACATACGAAGAACTGAAATAGATGTAAATCTTAATCTATGAAAAAATTAGTTATAAGTTATATTAATTAAAAAATGATAATAAAATATCTGAATTCGAAAAAAAACTATGCAAATGCATATTTAAGAAAATTTGACAGGGGGGAAAAAATCCTTATTTGCCTACGCCTATGCTATATAATTAATATATCATATATAACAAAAACCATGTTCCAGACAAATTTTCATGACCCCCCGTGAAATGAATAGCTTTGGCAAGCGTTAATACCAAAACTTTATTTAATTCTTCAGAATATGTCGATATTATATTTTTGTAATCCCCTTGAAATCTTGAAATTTGAGGCTGAATTTCAAAATTATTCAATCCACTAACAATATGTAAAACTAAATTCTCCATACAGGAATGCAATTGAAGCATTTGATTGATATTTAAGTTGGAAATTCCATTTACTCTACAAGCGGCCATTGAGAGATGATACATTAATGAATGCAAATAGCTAAGCATTTGAAATCTAGGTAGCAAATATATTTGATAATATATGACGATTCAACAATATTGCTAATTATTCTTAAATGAGAATAATTATGAAAATAATCAAACACGTTTCATGAATTAATAATTTTGATATATGAATTTAAAAATTGGAACAAAGTAGTTTTCAGGGAAATTTCAAAAATAGCATTATGTAACAAATTTAAATATTCATTTCTCAATTAGTATTTATCTAAATTAGAAAATGATCAAAAATAGGTCTGGGATGGAATGCAAATTCAATATTAGCGCCATTGAGACGCGTTCCGTCCAAGTAACTTCTTTGGGGTGCGTCCGACAACTCGTATTACAAATAAGACAAAAAAGCCAGAGTCATTTTTTTTACAATTTAAAATTATAAGAAAAATTTTAAAAAGTATACTTCTTAAAATAAGTATTATTTATTCATACATTATTTTATTATGGCGAGTTTATTAATGGAAGAAGATAGTAAGAATGAACCTATATAAATCAAAGTGGAATATAGTGTTTGTAGCGGTCCGGTCATTCTTCTAAGGCCGGACCATTAAGGCGGGTGGGGCAAGACTGTAGGACCGTCGATCCAATCAGATCTAATATATGCTAAGCAGGATAAAAGTTAACGTATCTATATACAAATATCATCAAGGTGTTTGCTGTTACATATAACTATTAAAAACATTTAGAAACACGTTTGCTCTCATACATGACTAATGCCACACCTATTATATTAAGAAACAGATATTAAATTTATGATAAAATACCAAAAAATTTATGGATTTCAAAATAAAATATATTTTAAGTTTAAAAAATTGAATTATCTAAATTAAATCTCTATTCTCTTATCTATAGATAAAAATGCAAGAGAACAAAAAATCTAATATTATAACGATAAAAAATGATATAGCAATAAAATTTTATCATTATCAACTTCGTTAGTTCACTCTAGAACCCATAATGTAAGGAATGCAAAGTAATATTATTGACCTAATGTAATAAATTTTTCTTATGATCTAAAATAAATAAAATTCTAATACAATGTCATGAGCTAAGCTACCCAGTCATCACCCTAGTACACATACATATGATCATTATTCCAGTAAAATTATCATAAGAGGAATATGAATGTTGAAAATATTTGTATAATTCACTAATGTTTTACAAATTTGGTTGATTTTTTTAATTTGTACTATTTTCTAAATAAATTGTTATTCCTTAAACCTCTAAGTTATAACTATTTATAGATATAAATCTGACCATAGTAATAACAATAAACAATAAAGCTAAATCATTTAACAATTATTTGAAATTAATAATGAAACGGGAAAGAAAAAGTAAACGATGGATGAGATATTATAAAGTGTTAAAGTGCAACCTAATTGAATTGTGTTTCGTTATGGACAACAAAAACTATTATTTCAAAGAAAATATTCATTTTTGATAACTTTGGATATAATTGAACTACAAATTTTTTTTATAACTTATTGGTAGGCCTATAAAGTAACATAATGTTAAATATTGTTGTAATATAAGTCAAAAGCTATGAAATATTTATGTTTTATATTTAAAAGAACACTTATTTTAGATATGGAAAAGTATAAATTGGGGGGGGGGGGGTAAATGCCATTCCACTAAACCTGTGCCCTGTCAAACTTGAAATTTTGCATATTTATTAACTAATACTATAACTATAAATAAATAAAAATTTGAGAGGAAAAAAATATTTGATTTTATGATCCTTACCGGTTTTTGATATTTAAATTGTTTTAAACATTATAAAACATAAAAGGTTCATTATTAAGCTGTATAAAGTAATTTAAAAGACGCATCTAGCTCAATTATATCAAAAGATATCCAAAATTAAAAGGAGTCCATTTTGCCCATAACATTTTTTAGACCGACTAAAATTTTATTTTTCTTAGTCCGACTAAATGCAAATTCAGTAAAATATGAGAGGGTCAGGTTGAAACTTACGTTGATTTGTCACGGAATTCACCATATATAATATTCGATTCGCTAATTCGAATTGAATATGAATAAGGAAAATATTATTTGTAAAAATAATTTTATAATTTGATCAAATTATTTATAGATTAATAAATATCTAATATATATAATCTTCATAATTTGATCAAATTATTTATAAATTAATAAATATCTAATATATAATCTTCATAACTGTAATATGATCGTTTTCCTATCATCTTAAAGTATTAAAATCTAAGGAGATTATATAACCTAATAATAATTTTTGGCTAACACAAGATTCGAACCCGGAAAACTCCGTATGAGAGAACGCTTTGCGGATGCGCTACTATAAAATATTATGATTATGTATAAAAATACAAACGATGTGTACTAAAATTAACAAGATTTCGATAACCATGCAAATTGACAATGGCACTCATCATCCTACCATGACATGCTACTATCAAAGTCAGGGTATACAAGACCATGTTTGATAGCAATACAATCAAAGTTATAGTATAGTCAGGGTTAAAGTTAAGGTGAATTATGAAGGACCCAATAAAATGAGAGGCATTTTTTAAGCTCCCTCCGGTTATCGAGTCAAAAGCACAAATGTCTGTCCTTGGCGCAATAGTAATTATAGCATCACATTTTTTTTAATAGTTAAGGAATTTTTATATTTATAGTTTTCTTTTGATTATACTGAATTGTTTAGGAATAGATTAATATTCGAGTTAACGCAATTGTGGCGTCTTAAGTGAGAATTACATGATATACTTTATATTGTAAATATTAACATTTTTACATTGAACATAATCAAGTTTTTGATATTTATCATCCAAATGTCTTCAAAATTTTCCCATATTATGCTTCTACCCAAATGTGGCATACAATATATATACCATTCTTTATTTGATTAAAAAAAATTACATCCATATTCATATTAATTGTTTTATTTTTATGTTAAAAATCTAATAATAAAAAAATAATAATTAATTTGAACCTGAATTTTTTTTAAAAATTTTATATTATTTTTTATAGAATATATTAAAGTATATATTAGGGCTGTGCCGATATTAAATATAGGACCGGATCGGCACCGATATTTAGCGTTTTCCAAAAATATCGGACTAGGCCGATACCTGTAAAAACCGATTCGATCCGATCTTTTTACTTTTATTTTTTTTGTAATTTTATGAATATTTATTTACATTAATAATATTTTCTAAATAATTTTTTTTAAACAATGCAAATGCAAAACACCTCTTAAATTTTATTTATTTTTTTAAATAGATTTATAGTATCTTAAAAGTTTCTTTATAAAAATAGAAAGGAACCCAAAGTTTTATTTATTTTAAATTTCTTTAAATAATAACGCCAATTTTATTATTTATAATTTAAATAATAGAATTTTAAATATGATATCTGAATTATGGAAATATTTTATAAAAGACAAAGATAATTTAGCAAAATGCGTTATTTGCGGAATTCTAATTTCATGGGGAGGAATATTGAAAAATTCATTTAATACTACCAATGTCCGTAAACATTTTTTAATTATTGTAGAAATAAAAAAAATTAAATTAAATGCATAATTAGATTTGCATAAAAAATATTGATCTCTTAATTACATTTGGTTCAAATGGGGGTGGTGAAAAGTCAATATAAATATCGGATCGGGTTTGAACCAATATCGGAAAATATGTGGATCGGCATAGTCCTAGTATATATTTATAGTACCTTCAATAATAACTAGTGATGTTAAACGGCTCGTTTTGAGCCATTTTAAAACGGCTAACTCAATATTTTGCCAGAAAATATTGCCTAAGCCCTGAGATTTCGCTAATAGACAAACCTTTGTTCCTTCTACAAACAAAATCTGCAGGCTTGGGTAATATTATTCTAGATGAAATATTGAGTTAGCCGTTCTAAAAATCGGCTCAAAACGAGCCGTTTAACAACACTAATAATAACAAACATTTGGAAATATATGAGTCAGTAGCATCACTAGGGGGGGCAGGAGCACAAGCCACCAGAAAATGTTTAATTATTTTTTGAGCCCCTGAAGTTGTAAAGGTGTGGATCAGTGGTCGAAAAATGAGATTTAGTTAATACCCAATTTTTTTTACTAAAGTTATCCGGCATAGGCCTGTTTAAATTTTTTTAAATACAAGACTAAACCAAAATAAACAACTATTTATAATCTTGGAGAGTGGTTATAGAAACACTATATTTTACCCACAATGACCCATAAAATTTAAAGACGTATGGGCCGTGTATTGCAGACCACTGATGTGAATATACTTTTTTAATCTATTTCATAATATCTAATAATGTCTTGCACTCAAATATAAAAATATTTTTAAAATGACCTAATAATTTTATCTTGCTAGATGAGGGTTTTGTAGAGCTGTTTAAAATATTTAATCATTATTGAAAATATATTTCTTATAACACTTCGCATCGCCACCATTCTTTACAATTTTATATTAAATTATTATTTTTGCTTTTCCCCAAAATAAAATATATTAAGTCGCTTTTATTTTTTATGAAATCGACAAAGTATGCCTTCGATAATAAGGTATGTAAATGCTCTCATCTAGCAATTATAAATTTTTTAAAACATAAATTACAAATTAAAAGTAAAAGTATGCAGAAGAAAAGATTTTTTATTCAGCAATAAAGACAATTTTTTTTAGATATTATGAAATTGCTACATCAATATGAGCTAGGTCTTATTGGAAAGAAAGAATATATGAAATATATATGACATAATATTTCACAAATGCAGCTAAAATGCGTGTGTTGAAAATCTATAATCGTCAAGTCGTTAAGTATAAACATATTTTTTTAGAATTTTTCTTTCATATTTTTCCCTCTCTTTGCTCCTTAAATAATCCATCTCCCACTTTCACACAATGGGGAGTGACAGCAATGCCGACTAACGGAAGCTCTGGTGTTCAGATGAACATTTAATTGATAATGAGCTAGATAGTTTCAGTGTAAATAAAACCGGAACTATTTGACGTTTTTTACCTCATACTTCGGAGCAAGTGCATTTTGGCTGTCCTGTATGAACAATATAAAAATGTCTCAAGCGGGATGTCTAAACTAAACCTAAGCATCTGGCAGCCCTAATATCTATAATTTTTCATAGTGATCTTATATTATAGTTTTTATAACAAATATATGAAGGTTTTGTATGGATATAATAAATAGTCAATAAGGTATCCAATAAAAAAGAAAGGCAAAATCAAGATTAAATCATTTTTTCGGTAATAAATTATAAAAAAGAGATAAAAAATTGTAGACGAAAAGTTAAATTTTTGATTTATCCATCATCAAAGGAAGGAGAAATATCTGATTCACCTGTCTCTTGATCATTCTTGGAGGGTTAACAGCTAATAAATAAATTTATTTGCTTAAGAAATTGTGCAAAGATATTTATAATTTACATTTAATAATATTTTTCTAGTGGATGAATTATGAATTTTTAACGTTAATTTTCTGCTTATATTTTGATGCAAAACGAGGTAAACTGATCTATTATAGACTATGTTCATTTATCTGGATAGAATAATTTTTACAAAATTTAATCCTTTTATTTGAATTTCAAATTAATAATAAATGTTAAATTATCGTATCATAATATTAGACAAATTAAATAATAATTTTTTAATTTGTAGGAATCCGAATAAATTATTCATTTCGCATAAATACGAATATTAAACTAATTTAATTTGAATTTTGAAGTTTTAGTTCAATGTCTAACTATTTTTACAAAATATAACACTGGATGGATTAATTGGCCTTTTTTCCTTTTAAATTTTATATTAGAAGTAATTTTTGATAACGTAAAACGTCTTTAGGATATATCCCAAGGATATTTGATCATAGTAGGCTCCGGAGTCAGGGCAATAAATTATATCAAGAAAAAATACATGATTCATAATTTAATTCATTTGCTTCTCATATTTTCAATTTCTCCTTGAAACTATTAACTAAAATTATTTAAAATTATCAATTTAAAAATTCGGGCCAGGTCTTAAAAATTATTTTTTTAAAGCCAATCCGAGTTTAACAAAAGCAGTTTTATGGTAAACACATTTTTAATTATACTTGTAATGAGGTTGTATGTAATGTAATCTATGGTTGAACATTTCAAGCAGTGAAAAAACAGCGGACCAACATTGATTTTTAAAGATGTTAGGCAGAAGATGAGCTAAATAAAAGTCAAATTATAATAATAAATTTAAATTTTGCTAACTAATAAATCCTTTTATTCCAAGAGATTCAATTTCCATATAAACAAGTAAACGACTATAAGTCTCAAGTAAACCACAAGAAAGGTAAGTTGTATTTGATTTTAACTGTAATGTTTTCAAAATACTTGTAACAATATTGTGGATCAGGCTATAAATATGTTCAAATATAAAATTCATAATTATTCTATATGGCGTGGTCAGATTATCCCCTAAAAAATTGACTTAAAAGTCTAAGTTTAGCCTCAACTTGATAGATACAATTTTTTTAGAATTAAAACTTGGCTAAGCCGTTTTAAAGCTGGCCAAAGTTAGATGGTTTAACAACACTAAAAATAAGTTATATAATATTTAAAAAAATTTGTAGTAAAATACCAAGTTTTTATAATTATTGTTTAGTTGAAATATAAAAAATTACTTTACGATTTAAGTCAAATTGGCCACACCTTTATACTATACTATATAAAAAAATTATTTTGTAATCAAGAGTCGAATTCATGATTCGAATACTTGAGTATACCAAGCAGTTAATAACTTGAGTTCAAGATATCAATCTTCTAGCATCGAATAAATTGATTAAAATCGCTACAATCTGATTTTTTGCAATTTCAATCTTGCACAGGCATAGCCAAGATTTTCCTAAGGGGGGCTTTTCCTTTATATTAATATGTTTAAGGCCCCGCTTTATGCATACTTAGATCGAGTCATATTTTTCAAAAATAATTTTGTCTTCAAACTTTTTCTTTTTTTTAAATACATTTTTTTCTAAATTGGAGAGCAGTTTTTAGGTGATAAAAATCATCTTTCGTTTTTGAAACTGCATATGATGGTATATCTTTACAATAAACATGGTTTCATAAATTTTTTATAACGATTCTCCATTAACTGTGTAATGGGTGCATATTGTAATATAACTATAAAAAGAAAAAATTTTTTTCAAAACCAAGTCTTCGGTCATTAATTTAGGGGGCATCACTAGACTTCACAGTTTGCAGGATCTCAATAGGCTCTCAAAATCCAAGATTCTTTAAAAATTAACATATTTATCATTTTTTGCTTCAAAATTTATATTTCCAAAATTTGACGAGGCTCGAGTCCCCGCTAGTGAAGCCACTGATTTCAAAATATTTTTTTTAAATTATTATAACATTTTATATATTAATATTTTGGGGAGAGGGGGTTGAATGGGATAAGGAAAAAAGGAAGATAGAAATTTTATTTGCTTAAAATGAGATTTACAAAAACTATCAAATTTAAATAAGGAGGATATCCCAGTCTTTCCCGTTGGTTATACTTATGCAATCTCATCACTTATTTATCGATGCTGATTCGATTCATTAATTACTGTGCTTCATATTCGAAATGGCCAATATTATGATAAAAATATATTTAATTAACAATAAGTAAAATTTTTAAGTAATCAACCTCATTTTGGCATGAACACTTAATGAATCTAAAAATTGCATCGATAAGGGAATTGTCATATCGTTTCTAAAAATATTAAGTGTGGTGGGGGGATTATGATTTATTTGCGGACCTAAAATAAATTCCACTATTTTAGACATAGATAATGTGAAATATTCAGCACTAGTGCTAAATGCATTGCATAATAAGGGATGTATGTAATTCGTTATATAATTATCACTTTGTAATGAATTATTTGTTGAACTGTTGATATGGGATAAATGTTCCGGGTTTGGGTGAAAATATATATTAGTATCAATTTTGTAAATTTCATCATCAATTATTATATCATATTCATAAGATGGATCATTAAAGTAAATTGAAGAATTGATGTTTAGTGAATTAATCATGTTCCAAATTCCTTGTATAAATCGAGCATGTATGGAGAAGGCAAAAGGTATGGGCCAATTATATGGTGTTTTTGACGCTATATTTTAACGAATAAATTATATTAAGATATCAATTCATATTTTAAGTTTCAATTTTGATGTGAAATTGTAAATTAATGTAAAAAAATTTTCTTAGTGTATATTTTATAAACTGGGGTCTGCCCGTTTAAAAATTATATTTTATCGGATAGTGGTATAATTTAAGGGTTAATGAATAAAAATTCTTTTAAGGAAAGCATGTTCTGAAACTTGGAAGGGAAAAGGAATGCAAAATACCTTTGTTCTGGGTCCCCGACATGACATACTATTAAAACATAAAAAATCTCTGTTCAGTTTATTTAAACCTATCGATTGTTCGTATAAAAAATTATTGGAAACCTATAAAATAATATATCTTTCTAAAAAGTAACCTGATATATCTTCACCGATATTCAAGATGTTATAGTCATTGTTTTGGATTTTTAGGGTCTTGTCTTCTCCAAATTTAAAGCAATTAATATCATTGAGATTCAGAGGGTCAGTAAAATTTTGTTCTTTATAATCATTTTCAGCAGCCGTATGTGATTGTCTAAATTTTTTAGCAATATGCATCCATATACAAGCGCCAGACATGTATCTTACACTAGTACCTCGCTTGTGATTGTCTTTAAAATTGTTTGTATTAACTGACAATATAAGTTTGGGTATAGGTAAGGGTTTACTAAGATTCCCTAAACCTGTATCTATATAGTCAGGTGATTCTGGGTAAAGTAAATTAAATAAAGGAATAAGCGATAAAAACTCCTGAGCTTGTGTATTTTGTATGCTACCCGATATGAATTGTAATAATAACCAAGATAATTGATATCTGGATTCTTCAAATAATTTAAGAACGCTGAATGCTTTATTTAGAGGATTGGATTCAAGACCATGTCTTTGCATATAAATGGTAAGTGTCATATCAATTTTTGAAGTGAGATAATCGATTAAACGTGAAAAGCTACAAAATTGGAAAAGTACAAAAAAGATGACTTGGGATGAAAGATGCTGCCATATCAAATGATAGGGATTGAAATAATTTATTGAGTCATAATTATTTAATTTAGCTATTAAACCAATATCTTTTTCATAAATTTCTAATAACATAACCTCCAATATTATGTCAGCAAGCGCTTCTTCTAATAAAGGACATCTTATTTTATGCTAAATTTATATGAATACAATAATGTATTAAACAAAAAAATTATTGATATTATTTTTATCCTATTTCTAGGTATCGAGATTGATGAATATTAAGACTGCACCTATTTTAATAATGATATTGGCGTCAGATACTTTGAATTAATTTTCATAAAAAGATCCGATATCGATTTTATTTTAAAGAATATGGTAGGTAATATCGATATAGAGGTGGTACATTCATGTATAACTAAGGGTTTTATATAATATTTATTATAAAAAATGTATGAAATATGTAATACTTATTATTTGTTTTAAATAAAATATTCATTATTTAGGATTTTTGTGAAATAGATATTTTATGATAAATATCTAGAAAGGTATGATAAAAATTATTAAAAGACTTACAAGATAAAGAAAATAAAAATAGGAACAAATCTCAATCTAAAATTATCAAAGACAATGGATAAGTAATAACAGATCCATTTATTAAAAACTAATCAAAATATATTTTCGAAATGATTATATTTAATCAACTTTTTCCATTAGTCCAATTGAGAATATTTCTCAGAAGTGATGAATCCGAATATTTTTGATATTTTTTAAAAAATATTTGGGGAAATTTTATATAAATTTTTTTTTATCAAAGTTGAGATTAACATGAATACTATATTAAAACTTTATTATTATCATTTAAAATATAGAATTTATATAAATTTTGTAAGGCTGAGTCCTAAAATTTATAAATTAATGATACATGCAAGGATGTGAGCCCAAATCCGGACCCTCATATTTTGGCTGAACTCGAACCCGGACCCTTTTTAAAAGTGGAGGGTCCAAGGGTTCTAGGTGTCATAAAAAAATTTTTAATATAAAATTTTTAAAATTTTTAATATAAAATTTTATTAACTTTTTTTGTGGAATCATTTAATTTATCTTCACGTTCTTCTTTCAATTTTCTTCCTGGACTTCCATTTTATTTAGAGATTGAATTTCCTTAGTGTAGGCAATTATATTTTATTATGTAAATTTTTTAATATGTTATGTTATAGAAATACGTTGATTATTTTTAAAATGAATTGTGTAATAATATTTTAATTTAAATGATAATGCAGAACAGGTTGATCTTCAATTTGTATGATGCTAGAACGATTTAGTTTGAAAGATTTCTGTAATGATTATATTATAGGAGAAGTAGTCATTTTGTCGGAAGATGATTGGTGCCAAATAAAAAACCTTACTAGTGTATTAGTTCATTTACAATATTAAAATTACAATCAGAACAATTATATTTATTTGATTTTTATGGTATATGAATTAGATACCGATTAGATTTAGAAAAATTTAGTCCTTTTTATACGAAATATTAGAAAACATGAAAATTCGAGGGCAACAATATTTGCAAAATAGTGTTATATACGCTTTTATATATTTAGACCCTCGATATCAAGTTGTATTGAGCAAAAACAAATGGCTAAAGACCATCTTTGGCATACGCAAAACTCCATTATTTACAATATATTGGAGGCTACAACAATATCTACTGGTTGTAGTGATAATAATAATAATGATAGTATCATTGATGATCTTGAAATTTTACTTTTAGATAGAGAAAAAAAATTAAATTATCATCAGATAGATAGAAAGGAAGATCAAAAATGTCTATTGCATCTTTAATGCATTTATGATCAATTTATACTAAAATCAGATATCTGTACCCACTTTTTTAATTTTCTTTTTGAATTGAGCATTTTTGACGCAAAATTCATTTAAAATGCAATAATTGGTAATTTTTTAATATTTTTTATTAATATTTATCTTTTTTAGATGTATTTAAGAATATTTGTTTTTTTAATCAATTTATATCAAAATATATGATTTTCAGTACCTTGAACCCGTAGTATGGGCAATAAATAATAATGCCAAATAACAAATAGGATATAGGAGAAGAATTATTTTTTTTCGCGCTTAATTTTTCATATTCGCGTTTAATTTTTCATAAAGCGAAGAGAACGAAAGCCACAATAAATAAATATATTAAATGTAAGCTATATTAAAAAAGATTTTATAAATAAAGGTAAATTTAAAAAATATAGGTTGTTTAAAAATTGAGTAAGGATTTTATAAAAAAAAATGTATAAGGAAGGTTTGCTGCAAAAATTAAGATATTTTTTTAGTTGTAGGGATCATTAAAACCGAAGTTATAAACCTTCAAAAAGTGCTAAAAATGACCTTTTTGGCCAATTTAACCTAAAATAAATAACAAAACCTGACGTGCTAGAAAAAAACTGACAGCGGATTTAGAATATGCATAAAAACTGTCTTAAAACATGTTTATTTTATTTTCTCCCAAAAAATCAAGTCGAAATTTGTCACACAGTGTTATTATTGAATTATGAGTAATTTAAAAGAATAGCTCAAAGATATGACCCGGCCGAAGGTGAGGGAAAGAAAAGCTGGCCGAAGGTCAGCCAAGGGGGTTTGAGGGCAAAGCTCCCCAAAAAATTTCCCCCCTATAGCTGGATACTCCACTGGTTGTTAATTTTTTTTGATATTATTAAATTTTTTATTGATACAAGACATTTAGTATAAAATTGAGATTTTTGTAAAAAAATATAAAGAAATAATTAATAGGACTAACATTAAAGATGACACATATTTAATCATCCCTTTTTTTGTACTATTAAATTTATAATAAATTGCAGTATTAGATACGCGCCGAATTGTCGTGCACCGAGTTTTCCTCGCCGAAATGATGTGATACCATTTAGAACACTATTATATCTTTACATTAAAAATAGCTTCGGTTATTTTTTTCTTCAAAATTAATAAATTTATTTATATTTTTTAAATTAATTCTTTATACTTTTAATCTTAACCGATACGTAATGATGTTAATTATCCTCAATTTAAAGAAAATTAGTTTCATTAATTAAAAAAATTATCTACATTCGAAACCCATATGGAAAAAGTTATTTTTTCATTATTCCTTTGTAATTTTGATTTATTTAACATTTATGATAATATTAAAGAATTTCAAGATATCTTATATCAGATCGGACCAATTTTTTGTCTTTTTTATATCGATAATTTTACGAACGGGCCCCATAAAATGGCATCTATATTTAAATTTTTTTAAATTTACTAATAAATTTATGTATAAGTTAAAAACATTCATATAAAAGTAAAGTGATTAAAACTTAACTAAGTAATTAAAATATGTTAAAAAAGTAATAATATATCAGAGACCTTCAGAGGTACCATTTGTACGGCCACGATTTTTTTTTCAAAATTTTTACGGCCCGGCCTGGATTTTTTTATAAAAATTTTAAAACCCGACCCGGGTATTTTTTTTTAAAATAATTTCAGGCCCGGCTTGAACGGGCTTAGGGTAAGGCCTACAGGTCTCTGATATATATAATTAATTCTTAAATTTCAAATGACTATTATTTTATTTCTATTATTTTAGCCATATTTGTTATCTTCGACAAACTTGCCCTAGCATTCTTCAAAAATTTAGGGTCACAAATCAGCAAACTAACAGAAGAACATCGAGAGAGGTTTTTTCTTCGATAAAGGTTGGCCATAGCTATCCTTAAAGCGAACTACATCATCTTTCATGGTAGTTCGCAAGCCAAAGAGCTATCCTAGACTATTTCTACTTCTTATTTTTTCTCTCGCTATACTATCTCCGGTCTTTATTGTTATTTTTTAAATTTTTTGATTTTTAAATTGAAAATGTATTTTAAATTTTTAATTTTTATTGTTGGTTTTAAATATAAAAATACATTTTAGAAGGTTTTAATTTTAAAAGCTTAAGTCATTTTTAAAAAATTCTAAAAATTATATTGATTACACTTTCTACATTAGGCTGTGTCCAAAATGTTTTGAGAAAAATCTCAAAATTTATAAATTTTCGAAAATTAAAACTTCAATTATTATTTTTAAAGTTTTGTAAAAATTAAAATAAAGAAAAACGAAAAAAACAATAAAAATATAAAAAAACGAATAAAATACAATGCTAGCAAATACTTTTTAATATTATTTTATGAGTTTTTTTGTAAAAATTACCCAAATATATAAATTTTTGTAAATGTCGAAAAATGATTTAGAACCCTTTATTTTTACATTAAAAATAGCTTATATGTTATTTTTTTGTTCAAAATTTATTTATTTATATTTTTAGATTTTGGACATAGCCTTATAAAAAGGCTTTTGGAGCAAAAGAAATTGCAACTTAATTATATAAATAATTAAAAAAATAAGTTAATTAAAATTTGATAATAGTATATTTTTTAAATATAAAAATTAAAATTTATCAAATATGTATAACAAATAAATCAAATTCGTGCGATAATCGGCTGATATCAATTTAATATCGGCAATATTGAATGACTTCCATCAGGTGGTGTCAGTACACACCAAATAAATTCTATACCCTACCTATAATAATATAATTTTTTGGTATCAAGTATCAATGGTAAAGGATAAAATTTAAGTAAAAAAAATAAACCATGCAAAAATCAATATCGGATCAGTAAGTTCTGATTGGCAAATATCGGATCGATTTCGCTCAATGTATCGACAGCCCTAATGAATATGTTAAAAAACTTTAAAACTTTACTTGTTTTTTTAATCCCAATATATTGCAGACCAAATCTCTAGAATAAGGTTGTTTTAATATATATTTAATCATATAGCTTTGAGGAACTGAATATTGCTGAGAAATAAATAAAAATTATACTTAACTTTTAATAATTTTTTACAATTGAGTACGGTAAAAATCCTCTGATAGGAAATTTAAAGGTATTTGAATCTAATCGCCATGCAATATTAGTAGCTGATGAATATCCTAAAATGGGATAAAAATTTTGACGACCTGTTAAAAAGAAATATGAGTTTAACAAACGATATTAATTTTATTATTTGAACCGGATATGGATACAATATGACCTAAAGATTTGTATATATTAACATATTCATAAAATGATGATGCTAATGACCAATGAGGTAGGGATGATGCGAAATTAAGATAATGTTTTTCCAAACTTAATAACGTATGGTAATCAAATGAAAAACTGAGGGTTGTTAGTTTTCTTAGTTCGTTAACGACAAGATAGGATGGCAAAATCGTGGCTGATATATCTTGATTTAAAACAATATCAAATATTGTTCGTATTGCTATAAACTGAGATGCCATATCTTTATGAATAATTTCCGGGATGAGATTATATTTTTGGAATATTGGATTGATTATATCTCTAACTCCCTTTAAATTATAATTTAAACATGTTGTGAACATTAAAAAGAGAAGACCTATGTCATATGTTGTAATATAGTTTTTAAAATATAGTTATAAGGATTGGCGATACCGGGAGAGGGTAGGGGGGGGGGGGGGAGTGTTCCTCTTCAATTAAAAATTCATAAAGTTTTGCAAATAAGATTTCAGGTAAATAAAACCCTCCTGACCCCCCATTCCAAAAATAAATCATTAAAATAAAAATTAAATGAAAAAATACGAAATTATATATAAGATTTTTTCCTGATGAACTAAAATACAATCTATGCTATTTAATATATATCAGAGTAGTTATTATCTCTTATTCTCTTGATTAGATTTTCAATAAAAGATACTTTTTTTAAAAACATCGCCTGTTACTAAATCGTGTTGACATTCTTGTAATCTACTTTTTTAATGTTTTATCCAACATCTGTGACTATTTGAATATTTTTTAAAATTAAATTTTTAAATTTTATTATTTTTTGTAATAGTTTCGCCTATATGATGTTTTTGGTACATCATAAAATTAGCATTTATTAGTATTATACAATTTCTTCAATATTGATCGGTCTATATATCAAATGTGATAGCATAAAATTTTGATCTAGGGTAAATTTGCTTTTATGGATAGGTAAACATTAACATCAATAAGGTCGTGTCCTGGTTCGCCGATACTTATTTCTGTTTAGCCCCTGCTATATAGATTTTGAACTAGGACAACATATCTAGGTGTGTTTTAGGTGTTGTACTAATAAATATCATGTTATTTTTATAATTTTTAGGTACAAATAAAACAAAGATAGGTTAATTACTATTACATATATCTAAATAGCCTCTTTCTTTATAGGCTGTTTAGAAGAAGCTATAAAGAAGGCTAAAGAGAGGACTATTTAGAAATAAGACGAACCAGGACATAGCTTAAGAGCTGTTCGACGTCCTATCTTGCAAATCATGAATTTTATAATATATATTTTTCAGATAAACATAAGCATGGATGTTATTTCAATATTCAAGGAATTAATTCTATCCTTACCAAATGCAGAATGTGATTTCAAATTTTTAAGGAACTAATTCTATCAGTGGCGTAGGTACGGGGGTAGTTTTCGGGTTTAGACCCCTCCCAGAGCAAAATTTTTTTTGAAATTATACGTTCAAAAGATTTAAAAGTGATTTTATATGAATTATATTTTTCTGGTTTTGATGTTTGTGGAAGGATATTATATTACTAAATATAAATTATTCTGGATAGTATTATTATAAAGTCATTGAGAATAATCTACTAAATTATAATAACATATTATTGATGCATTTAAAAAAAATTTATTTATTATATTATCGAAGATATGGTTATGATTTGTAAAATAAACCCGGCCGAAGGCCGGGCAAAAGGGCCGAAGGCCCGTCAAAGGGGGTCTGGGGACGAAGCCCCCCAGCTTTTATATGTATGGACCCCCCCTAAGGAAAATTCCTAGCTACGCCACTGAATTCTATCCTTAACAAATGTAAAATATGATTCCAAAATCTTCAAGTTCTAATTTAAAGAACATTCGATTGTAATATTTATTATTTTATATAATTAAATTAAGTAGCCTGTTATTAATTTATCTTATAGTGCGCACAAATTGAGCGTTTATGTTTTGCCGTAATTTTAAAATTAAAAAAAAGTAACGCGTCCATTGTTTAAATTAGGTTGACTTTTTATTAATATCCCTCGATTCAAAATTTTAAATAAGTTCTAAAAAAAAGGATTTGTCTTTGAATTATATTATTATCTGCGTTCTTATTTCTTTAATTTCTAAATATTCCTTTTTAAAATATAATTAAATTATTTATATTACATTTTATATAATATTACAAAACGAAGAATAAAAAAAAGTATTGAAAAAGCAAACCTGTTTGCGTTTTTTTAAATAGGTTGCTAACGCCAAACGGTAATTTTACCAATTTGCACGGGACCATTTGAAAAACATTATTGGCGCTTAAAACGCAGTGCTTGAAAAGCTCAATTTGCTCGCACTATTAGATTGTTGTATTTGATAATCTTACTAATTATAGTAGATACATAAAATAAAAATCCTTATATCATAGATATGAAGTTAATATTTTTTAGAATTTATTTATTTCGATGAACGTTTTGTCTATCAACGTTGAACACGTAGATTTTTTTAGAAATGATTATAGAAACATATGGTGATCCATAACAAATCAACATGAATTTCAATCATCCTCAGATTTTTCTAAAATTTCAACTAGTTTGCATATATTATAACTAAGAAGAAAAAAATTTTAGCCTCCAACTACGAACATCGGCTAAGATGTGGGACTCTAAAGGTCAAAAGAATGGGGCATTTTGGGACTCCCTTTAGATATTTTTGAATGTAATTAAGTTAAGTGTCATTTAAATGTATTTATATAGCCCAATGGTAAGTCTTTAAAATTATATAATTTAAATGTCAAAAACCGGATATAGAAAAGAGGAAATGATTATAAAATCAAATCAGCATTTTTTTCTTTCAAATTTTTTTTATTTATAGCTATAGGATTAATTAACAAATAGGAAAATCCCAAGTTGGGCCGAGCATAGGTTTAGGAATATTTGATAAATCATTAATTGTAATAAATTTAGGATAATAGCTTTTAAATATTTTATGTATTTTAATAAAAGATTGGAAAAAGTGAGGAGAGGGAAGGGGGACTAGTAAATTTATGTAATATATTTACTTCATTCCTAAAATTCACAATTTTTTTTATAAACAATAAGAATATATTTAATTTAGGATACAAATGTTGTGAAGGTCTAAGAAATGTATTTCCTTGGATGATAACCAGGAAAAATTATATTAACAATTAACGATAAAATTTGCAGTATCTGTCGTAAAAAATTAATTGCTACAACCAGTATCACAATTCCTTCAAAATACAATGCTGCCCTTGAACATCTAAATGTTTCATTACCATTAATGAGCGAGACATCGAGGCGCTCAAAGGCGTACAGCCAGTCACTTATAGGCAATAGATACCTCATCTGAGATAGGGTAAGTATATTTATTGTATAATCGTATATATATAAAGTGCCTCCAAATCGTGGAAACATCTCTTTGCAGCAATAGACATTCGGGGATATATTTGTTTGTGATAATCGCTATTTTATCTAATGGTGGGAATATATTCGCGGTAATGCATACATGGAAATATATTTTCAGGGTAAGACATTTGAGATGCCCTTTGTGGAAATGATATGTAAGATGTAACAATTTGGCTCACTGAGTAAACAGGCACTAATAAACTGTTATTTTTCCCCTAAAGTCGGAAACCACTTCAAAATCCATTTGCAAGTATAACAGACAATAGATCATTTTACGTAGGCCAGGAAGATAATCTACTAAACCAATTATCCATACGTCAGCCTCATGTTGCCAAATAATTAATAGGCCTATTCAAAAACGAATTGATTAGTTTGAAATAATTCATATCGAATAGTAACAAATAAATTTGAATAAATAAAGATTATCATCTAATAGTAATTATTAACCTAATTAAATAAATTCGAATATTAACGATTAATTTGAGTTTAAAAAAAATTAAATATCAATAAAATTGAATAAAATAATTTATTATATAATTATTTTCAAAATATATGAAATTGCGTTAAAGATTGACTTAACTAACGTGAATCTGCAAGTTATCGATTATAAAATTACGGGCCAACGAACTGAGGCAAGCCATAACTAAATTGAATTTCTCAAATCCGCAAAGACATCTTGGATAAGAAAATTATTGTTAATATAGCCCAAATATGAGGCATATGGTAGGATAGACGCGTTCTAAAGACCTCAACTAGTTTTAGGATCAACATGATGAATAAGAATATGAAATAATATCATTTTATTTATTTATCAACAAAAATGGAATAATTTTATACATAAAAATAACAAAAGATCACCTTATAAAATATTTTTTTACATTTACAAAAATATTTAAGAATTTTTGGCAAATTTTGAAAAATCTTGTTTGAGAATTTTCAAAAAAAATATCTATCATTTTTAAGATTTTTAATTAGTTATTAATACAGAGCAGTTTGTAAAACTCTAGTTTCCTTACATCATTTTGAACTTTTTAAAATATTACGCCTTTTTTAATATCTAAAAATAATGTTAATTTTTTAAAATTTATTTTACCATAAATTATTATATAAAACCTAGCATAATTAATTAATTAATTGACCTAGAGGAGCCATATGGGAACAATATGAATAAAGAAACAGATAAAATGGCTGCTTGAATCATTGAAGCATAATAACATGCAAAAGAGGATCAACATCTCCATATTTCATTCCTTATTCACCATCTGAATAAAAAGAGTAGTAATTTTTTTAAAACTTCATAAAAAATTTTATCCATAAAAAATAATTTTAAAGATAACTAACTCTTTATAAATAGTAATATGTAGGCACTTATCAAATCATTTCAAAATGATCTTGTTCATCAATACACTCAATTACAGATATGCGTAATACATTTTCAGAAAAAAAGAATAGTTGGTAAAGAAAATAATATCGTAAAATAAGTTGATAAATTTTCCATCTGATATTTAGATCAGTTCAAATCAAGTCTCATTGGAGTAGCGATCATTTTACAGAATTTTATACTAAATAATATAATAATAAAGAAATAAAAATTTAAAAAAAATTTCTATCAATATATTTTCATGTTAATTATTATATATTAAAAAAAAGAAAAATTTGGAATCACAAACATTATTCTTTTGAATACAAATTGTAATTATTCGATTTATAGGTCTAACATAAAACAATAAAAATTTCTACCAACAAGCATTCCATTACAATATTGTTAAAATAAACTATGAATTGATATATTCGATTCCAAATAAAATACTATTGGAAGTATAATGATTTTTTTTTAAATTTATTACATACAAACAACATAGGTCCACCATCAAAATTTCATATATCTAATATCATAATTTTAAAAAATATATACCTTATAATCCATCTGATTTAGATATTTAAAAATTACTGTAAATGTATCACACCAAAATTCATTACATTGTAGATTTAAACATTCATGGTTGATTAATGTAATAAAAAATGACCTGTGAATAAATATTAAAATTCAATAAATTATATTATTAATAGATAGGTATATCATATCATTTAAGTATATCAAGTGGCTCATATGATTTTAGAATCTATAATTTAATAAAACATTTAATCATCATAGACGTTCATTTTCTACTAATTTTAATAATATTTCTTTAGGACCAGCCTAAACTGCAAGTTGACCTAAGGCCAACTGAATAAATTAGTTCGGTCAGGCCTAACAAAATAAATAATTTGAGTAGGGTCAAAAGAGGACCTAAAAGATTCAAATTTTTTATTTTCTATAGAGCCTATTTTAAAATATAAATTGCAACCTGGGACAAATTGTTGTAAAGAAGGTAATGGCCAAAAATGGAATTTTTATTCATTTATCAATCGTTTTTGAAATTGTTATCTTAATCTTAACTAATATTATATCTACATAATAAAAAAAGGGTTAATTTTAAGATATTTATTATAGGGCTGTGCCGATATTAAATATCGGATCTGATCGGAACCGATATTTAGCGTTTTCCAAAAATATCGGATCGGGCTGATACCTGTAAAAACCGATCCGATCTTTTTACTATTTTTTTTTGTTATTTTACATTAATAATATTTTCTAAATAATTTTTTTTTAAACAATGCAAATTTTTAAATAGATTTATAGTATTTTAAAAATTTTTTTATAAAAATAAAAAGCAACACCCAAAGTTTTATTTATTTTAAATCTCTTTAAATAATAAAGGCAATTTTATTATTTATACTTTAAATAAAAGAATTATTTTAAATATGGTATCTAAATTCTGGAAATATTTTACAAAAGACAAAGATAATTTTGCAAAATGCGTTATCTGCGGAATTCTAATTTCACAGGGAGGAAATAAAAAATTCATTTAATACTACCAATATCCGTTAACATTTTTAAAATTATTATAAGAAATAAATTAAATGCATAATTCGATTTTTGAATAAAAAATATTGATTTCTTAATTACAGTTGGTTCAAAGGGGGGTGGTGAAAAATCAATATAAATATCGGATCGGTTTTGATCTAATATCGGAAAATATCGGATCGGATAGATGAAAAATATGTGGATCGGCACAGCCTTATTTTATTATTAAAATTCTTTTTAATATAAAAATCTAATTTATGATAGAGGAAAAAGGGTTGGCAAAATTTTGAAAAAATCAAAAAAAAACTCGATATTTGAATCGAATACTAATATTTCAACCAGGGAAGCACATATTTTCACCTTAGTATAATATTACCTTAAAGTAAAAAGTTAATGCTAAGAGACCGGGTCAGGAAATTATTGAAAAAAATATATATTGATAAGTCATGAGCTAATTTGATATTTTGTCAAATAAAACGACCACTATCAGTCAAAAATTCGATATGCGCATACTATTTTTAAAAAATCTAACAAATCATAAAGTGAGTCGGAAAGAAAATTATTCAATATTTTCTAAAACTAATACTATTATGAATATCATCAAATAAAACTGTATCAAAAAAATTTTTTTTAACTAATAAAATAATGGTGGTTTATTATTTTTAATTTTAGCTACTGTTATTTCCCAATTGGGTGCCCTGATTATGCGCCGTCGACTCACGTCGTCAATTTTATCGACGCCGAGCGGCCAGGTTTGCCGCCGATTTTTTTTATGGCGACGGCGCGGCGTGCATAATTTTTAGAATGCTATTTAATTATTTATATATTAAATTATTATTTATTGAATAATAAATTATTATTTATTGAATATTAACATTAATAAAAATTAAAATATGAATTGTATCCTATTGGCGTATAATAAAATAATGTATATCATTTACATTCATAATCATATTTCAAAATTACATATACATTCATATATATTAAAAAATTTTATGGACTTAGACGTTTATTTATATTTTTTGAGTACTGACTTACTAAATTAATTATATTAATCTTTATTTTGAAAGTTCAAATTTGTTTCATTTAATATTTTAATGTTTTTTAAATAACTTTTTAATGTATAAAACAAATATAAAATCTAATAAGGAGATTGGATTTAAGGTCATTTGATTCTATAAACAATAAAGTAATAACTGAATTTCTAAAGGTTTGAAATTTAAATAAAACGATTATTAAAAAAATAAATTGTCTAAAAAATTAAAATATGATATTTGATTCTTCGTCAGAATTGCCTGATAGGACAACCATTAGTCAAGGTGCACTAGATATTGTTTATTTATCTATAAAGGCGCATTTTTAAAACTGATTGATTTTGGATCAAAATTCTCATCTATCACTTTTGATTTATTCTTAGCAGAGTTGTTAGACGCTATTTTTAAAAGTAGCGCGCTACCGCTATAGCTATTTGTCAAAAAAAGTAGCGCGCTATTCAAAAGTAGCTTTAGCTACTTTTTATAAAAAAAAATTTAGAAACAAATGAAACAAATTTTTTTTATTTTTTTTTTGCTTATAATGTATATGTATAATAAATAATATATAAAAATCAACATTTATAAATATAAAAATATAGTTAGTTTAGATTATAAAAAAATAAGCAATATAAATAAATATTTGATATGGAAATGAATCATTATTAATTAGGATTACTTCTGTATACTCTTTTATAAAAGTATGCTCTTCATCGTTAATATATTCAATTTCAACAAGATCACAGAGATAATTAATCTCTAATCTTCTTTCCTCCAGAAAAAAAGCGATAGTTTTATTGCTTGGTATACAGAATTCCATCTTGTACGATTAGGGGTTAATAAATACCTCCCTAATTTTTTTTTAAACATGTCAGAACTTTTAGGAGATTTGTTCTGCTTATTCCATAAAGTTTGACATTTATAAAATGTCGATCTTGACGCCCTATCATTTAAAGCTCCTTCAGCATCTACTGTTGCTATCAAATTTAAATTATGACAGGAGCATCTCTGATGGCTGGGCAACATTGTGGAGTTAGTTGAAGATCCTATAGAATATTGATTAGATTAAAATGTATTATAAAATCATTTAAACCTTCTTCTAAGATCTCATTAATATCATTGGCATCAACACCTATTTCCTCCTCTTCCAATACATGTTGACTGTCATTCTGTATCTCATCTTCAGCATTATCCTCACCGAATATTCTATATTCATATTAAATAGGACAAATTAAATTATTCATCCAGTTTTAATAGAAATGTCTAGTAATATTTATCAAAAATGGTGTGGAAAAATCATTTCTTAGTATTCTAAATTTTGAATCTCAGAAATTATAATGTAACTAAGCAAAAATATTTTATCAAATGAATACATTGAATGAATTCCCTGTATTGTATATAAATTGATGGCAATTAATCAATAAGAAATAAATATAGTAAAAATCTAATCGTCCATGAAATATTCAATAACCATATCTTATTAAATGTTAGATTAGCTCAATGACACTGTACAATAAAATTTAATGAAATAATCCACCTCTGTTTTATATTTTATTAGTTAATTTCACTAATTTTATTTATAAGTTGATATAAATTATGATAATCATAATATTACTAAAATATGTGTGTATTTAGTTAATAAAAATTCTATAAATAATGTGAAATATTAAAATACTAAATATTTTATAGATTAAATAATAACCATTCCATTCTGATTAATTTACTGCCCAAAAAATCATAACTTAAAATAAATATTATAAATAAATTTGTGATATAACCTAAATGACTTCAGGTAGTTAGACCCATTATCAGTAACCATCTTGCAAACTTTATTAAGAATCCTAAAAGACTTGTAGATGTCAATAATTTTATTTGCAAGTACGTCATATGTCTGGCATCCTATAATCCTTTTAAGGGCTAAGGCTACAGATCTTCTTTTTAAAGTCCTAGGGTCTAACCAATGGCCTGTGATTCCCAAATAAGCTCTAAAAATATTTAATCAGATCAATTTATAAATATAAATAAGTTTTTACCTTCTGTTATGTGTCCAACTATCTGCCGTGGTACATACATAAGATATATCTGATAACTCTACTATTAGAGCATCTTTCATTACTTTGAAGTTGTCGGCTATTTTATTCATAAGTGTCTGGCGACATAAAACTGGCCAGGGGATAAAGTTTTAATCATCATAGTGATGGATTATCAACCAAGGACAATGGCTGAACTGTGTCAATAATAAAATCAACAATTACTTTATCAGCCAATTTTTGTGAAATATTGGCATGTTTATTATCAGTTAATTTGGTTTGGATAGTATTTGTCTTTTTGAATGAAGATTCTCCTATACCAAAAATTTTTATATGTTTCTCTATTTCCTTATAGCAATTGGCGTGAACAGTCTAATAAAATAAATAATATTATAATGTAAAAATAAAAATTTACCTTTAGGTGTTTCTTCAGGTTATAGCTACTCGATTGATTTGATATATTTTTTTTACATTTTAAGCACAGGAATTTGAATCCAGATTTTGTTTTAATATTTATTTTAAAAAATTTTTCAAATCGGAATGGGAAATCGTTATTAGAGCTATTAAGTACATTTTCTTCCATTGAATCTTCCATGTCCGAATCACTTTCAAGGATTTGGATATCCATGGGCGATGCCATTTTAGATTATTAACACAGATTGAAAATATAAATTAAAAATTGAAAATATATTTAAATTTCAAAATTAAATAATAAATTATAATTAATTATGATATTATATTTAAATTTTCATGTTTATACTTACATTCATTATATTTTTTAACAGCTACTTTTAAAAAAAGTAGCGCGCTAAAAAATTAAATATTTTAAAAAAAAGTAGCGGCTATTAGCTATAGCTACCAAAAAAGATAGCGCGCTAATTTAACAACTCTGATTCTTAGGACATATACTTCGTAATTTAATTAGTTGATGGCATAAAAAAAATTGTCAGAATTTATATTCTGATTAAAAAAATTAGAGAAATCATTTCGGCCCTCAGATATCAAGTAGCTGATTTGGAATGTGAAATTAAAGATGAGAATCTTAAATGTCGGCAATC